AAAGTAATTAAAGTACACTTCTAATTATCGCAATCAAAGTGTAATTGAAAGTCACTAAATTACTCAGAAAAGTAGTTAAACTACAGTAACATGAGTAGAGTAGTTGAACTACGTACAAGTCTGCTTTTAGCCACGATATTTACAAAACTGAACACAACTGAGAAGAATGGAGGAAAAAAAACTTGTAATCAGGGACACTGAAGGATTTGAAAACGGTCGTTACCCCAAATTTAAAAATATTGACGGAAGTTGCCATGTATATTAAATGTGTGTCGTTTAATATCTTTCTTCTAGTATTTGTTCTTCTTTAACGCACACGTCTAAGGCATGTTCAAAAGGAATGCCTGCCCTCCAAATAAAGAAACCGCGCGGGCGTCTGAAGACCAGCTCTGCGCGAGTCAGTCTGATAACAGGCTTGTATTCTGCATTAAGACTTTGGTTTGCGCTAGTTGGTTCATGATTACTTAAAAGGTTAGAAGGTGTTAGCGCCCGTCTGTGTCGTGTGCGTTTCTTCTTCGTCCTTTCGTTGTTTGGAGCTTTTAATCTTTAAAATCATGTTGTTTCCGGCGTTTTTTTTTTCTTTTTGTTTTCTGACGCTACATTTTTTCGTTGTGTGGTCGGCTACAAATAATGTAATGCTTGGATTGGGTTTATTGTGCGCTCTAAATGCGGGGAATGCCCGTAGCTCCCATGCAGAAAAGACTTACCTCCGAATCCAAGAACCGGCCTTTGCTTTCTACGTTCCCTCACCTTACGTAAGGAGAGGAAATGGCTTCACTTAAGGAAAGGGGCCATTTCGTTTTACAAGTACATTTCATTCTTTCCTTAGTTCAGGAGCAGACAAAGGGTTCCTTCGCTGAGCAAAGGAGGGATGAAAGTAGACGGGTGTCGAGATTATCGTGCAATTTGGTTTCAGCATGCTCAACAAACACTCAACACAGGTATTTTAGCAATTATTTGAACATCTGAAGTGCTTTACGACACCAAACATATGAAATTGAGAATGCCGAGTTTAAGGGTATAATGCGCGTGTTTTGTCCGTGCATTACATGCATATAGATTGGTCTCGCAACAACGCTCAAATTGCTCGCACTTTTTTTTTGCATCGGCGCTACGGCTAACTTGAGAAGGCGACGAGCTGTGAACGTTTCACCAACGGCTACCTTGTTTTACCCTAAGTTTAAACAAAGCCGATCCTACAAACATTTTTTTAATGGTGCATTTATTTTACGAGCGCGTGTGCATAGAGGGCCCGCAAAGCGCTGCACTCGCTATTGTAGCTTATCATCTACTCATACCCATAGCGAAACGGAATATATATGAATGGTGTCATTACAATGGATTTGGTTTACCTCAAACACACTTGGTATTAGATAAGGGCGGATAGTCACATTAATATCCGCTCAAGTTTTTCTTTGTTTTGTTTTTGGGTGAGATTTAAAAAAAAACGTTTGCTATAAGGTGGTGTTTCGAGTCCTCGAATGAGGTTTTTGTACTACGATATCGTAACACTGCACTATGTCATCACAAGTACCGGAATATATTTGTGAAGCCAATGTAAGCTGCGTTTTAAAGGTGAAGATGAGTTGACAGTTAAAATTGAATCTCCTGAATTTGACTCGCTCAACGTGAGTCTAGAGATCGAACGTGGGCCTAAAGTTCCAATCAAGAGGTTAAACGAGTTAAAAGATACTCGATAAGAAAAAACTGTCTACCAAATAAAAAAATAGCAGAACAGTTTAAATAAAAATAAATTGACCTAATACTTGTTTATATTTTATTATTAACACTTTTATACGTCGTTGGGGCGGGATTGCAATATAAAGATGGCTTTCTTAGGTGTATGCAAGCAATTCAACGTATTCCGTTCATTGTTGTCTTTCCTACGCAGTTAATGCTGAAAAGAGCTCGAGACTTACATCATTGTTTTTCTTGCAAGCTCATTGTGAGGTTGTGTTCATCAGGAAGCTCGTTGAATGCTTTCGCACTTTGTTTCTATTCGTTTCTGCATCTTGTTTGCATGGTCCTGTCACGTTTGCCACCAGCTTACCTGGCATGAGCATCTTCTGAGTTGAAAACGGCGACATTCGGTGAACAGCATTGACTCCTCGCATTAACTTCACCGGTGTTGTGGAAGTGGTCGGAGAACACGGAGTGAAAAAAAAAAATCACACACGCAATCCTTCGACGTCGGAAGGCGTCCAATACTTTTTACGCCTAATGATCTTCAACGCGGCGAGGCTTTTACCGCTCATCCACAGTCTACATCTGGTTTGTCCGCAGTCAACAATGGTACCTTTATTAATGGAATGACAGCTTCTTTTTTTTTTTTCTTGGTTTCTTGAAAAAGACTCGCGTTTGGAGCTGCTTGTGACAAATTGTCGCTTTTTGTCCGATGTAATAGCTTAGCTGTTAGCGCCATGCAGCCAGACTAGAAAAAATGCATGCAATGATTCGAGAAGGAATTTGGTTTTGGCGGTTGGAGCGCCAGGCTGACAGCTCGCCGACCATTGGGCAACAGTGTACCTCGTGGGAGTGGTGGAATTTGGAGGGATTGGTCGGTCCCTGGGGGGAAAGGAGGCCCCAGAGAGTCTACAAAAGGAGGGCAGAGAGGATTCTCGGGGTTTGGGTTCATTTTGGTTTTGAAAGGCTAGGGACAAAGGTATGGGGTTAATTTTGGGATTTTAACTCACTGTTGAGTTCATATGTTGTTTTGTTTCGTAATCAACGTGGCCACACTCGCCACTGTAAAGCCAACCAACGCCGTAATGTGTTCAGTGGGATCGAACAGCTTTTACTTTTTTATATTCGACTTCCCGGGGGCTTCCATCGGGCGAACACCATCATCGGTCGTCACCATCCGGACCAGGACTACAGCCCCCTACCTCAAGGAAGCTGACTGTCTTGGTTAAAGTTTGGCATTCCTGAACTTACCGTTGATTCGGTGTACATAGTATAACAGCAAGATCAAACTCCTTCGCAATTTCGCTTCAGGTCAGACGTTTCTTTGAATCCGCTGATTCGATTCACAAATTCAAATCTCACTAACTCATGCAACGGAGCCCCCAAAACCAACTTGACACGAGAATGATGTGCACTGCCCCACCATACCCTCAGCGGCCGCGCTGAAGGCTTGACGCAAGCAACGCGGTCGAATTCTTTTGCCGCTGGTGGTGACAGCCATTAAACGCGCAGTTCACTTACTCTACTGCCCCTATTCCTGCACACTATTCCAGTAATCAGCGACGTGTAAAACATCGCCAAGAGCCCAAAATGTCGCCATCTTGAAATCTGAAAGGAAACATCTAAGGTAGCTATGTCGCTTCCTTCAGTTTACAAGGGAAAAAGTAAGAAAACGTTATATTAAAGGAGCCGATATAAGATAAAGTTGATTCATGATTCATAAGTGCACCCCCTTATGAGAGGAAAGGTGATGATCTAAAGAAAGGAGACTTCTTGAATTGGGAGGTTAGTGCTGCATTTTCCAGCGTCACTCAAAGAGGCGACTGTAGGGCTGAGATTAGACAGGACTGCTGTGTCAGCGTTCTGCCGTGAGTCGTGTTCTTACTAATGGAGCAGAAGCTCCAGTCCAATGCTAACGCACCACTCTTGCCGAATGAGCGCCCTACTCTGGCATTCTTTAGGGATGGCGAAAAACACAGCATGACAGAGCCGGGGTATAGCCTTCCTTTACTTTTCGTCACCAGCTCCTCATTGACGGAGGATGGGTCACGTGCGGCAAATTTGACCACAGTGTTTGCGGTGAAGCGGCCTTGCGGAGCGCCTAATTTAATACGAGACAGATGTCAAAAAAAAAAAAAAAAAAAATTATACGTTTTATTTTATTGAAAAAATAAACTATACTCTGTTTATTACTTAGCGTGCAACGCTGTCAAAGCTACTGGCGCGAGCGCGTGGCTTCATCGATGGTTTTGTTTACGCGAGAACTCGTGGAAATGATCAACGAGATCAAGCCCCACACTCGAGCCACTAGCGTTGACAGCGTTGCACTCTAAGTATGAAACAGACAATAGGCATCGCCGAACGCTAATTTTCCGCCCAAAGGTAGCATAGAGGTCACAACGAAATACCTAAGTTTCAGCCCGATCCGATACCTTATTATTCAAAAGCTATAGGTGATTTTCTGAAAAGTTAAATGGGAAAATGGTGGCCGGCAAAGTTTTCGAATACATGGGGTTCTATGGCACTAGAAACCGAGAACGGGCAAAAATGGGCTCCATTTTCGCACAGAACTTTTCAGAAATTCACATAACTTATGAATAAGGTATCGGATCGGGCTGAAACCTTGGCATCTGGGTGTGACCTCTAACGCTACTTTTGGGCGGAGGATGAGCTTTCAGCAATTCCTAGTTTATTTTTGCAATAAAAAAAAAAAAAAAAAAAAAAAAAAAAAGCTCTGTAAATTTTTTTTTTTGTGACGCCTTGTATATACTTTTGGTGTGAGTTAGGGAAATGTAGATCTTACGCTGAAGACTGACGAGCAGGAAGCTTTTTGAACGTTCGAACATTGCGTGTGCCGCTTACACATGTGTTATATGGCCATTCTATGACGCAAGCGCTGTTTCGACCTGAACGGCCTTGCACAAGCATGCAGAATGCAGAACGACCAAAAACGCTCGGGAGAAGCACGACGGCGCATGCGCGGGGCCGCCGGTGCAGTAGCGGCGAACCGCCGCCTCATGTCGCCACCGTCGGGTCTCCTACAGGAGCGACGGTCGCTTCTCCCGCAGTACTTTAATTTTAAAAAAATTTAAACCGTTGCGATACTCGGCTCCGCACAGAGTTACTCGAATGCCCCCTTCCCTCCAGTTGACCAAACATTTTTTTTTCTGGTATAGTCATTGTTTTTAGATTGGTGATATACACAGTTCGCGTGGTACCGCTAATGACGCCCGGCGCAATTTGTCTCTCAGGCGTTTCTGGTTTGTCCTTGTCGCCCGGGTTTGCAACTGAACTGCTTTACGTCCCGACTTTTGCAGTCATTCAAAACCGAGATTACGAACGGGCGCCTTGATGCTATTCTGCCGAAAAACTTCACCTACATGCACAGCGTCGCCGTTTGGCCTTGGAGGAACCCTCCCCATCGTGTTCGAGCCGTCCTCGGGTGAGAGCTTGGCGGAGTGCCTTGGGACGTATTTCTGTGGCTCCCAGGCAGTACTCCAGAAAAAGGCTTCTTCAATAGACCCGTGCACACATTTGCGACTCCTTAGGACCGTGTGCCTTAAGACCTCCGAAAATATGATATGGCGAGAGAACAAACTAGCGTCATCTGTCTGGTAGCCGTCGACCACTTTTAGTATCTGCACATTTCTTATTCTTTTCGCGCATCATTTTTTTTTATGGCCTAAAAAACTTTTTACAATGTTACAAATAACTGTTTCTCGAAGATAGTACGTACATCTGTTCCCGAAAATCTGGCAAAAATCTTCGTTGTAGCTAAAAGAAGTCCCGGGGTCAGCTGATAGTTGGCGCCAGCGTGTCAGTATGTTCACTTCTCCTAAGAGATTTTAAAAGCTTTAAGGCACTAGGTCATAAGGAAACGCAAGTGTATACACGGACTTTAACATGGTCCCAGTTTGGCAATTCTATCGGCCTCACTCGGCCTTACTCCTAGTGCCAAGGTCTCTTCTTTTACTTTTTTATGGCTTTTATGATTCGCCATGTAATTGCCAAACTGCCAAAGTTGAGCCAAATATGTAACGTACTATGAACGTAACTACCAGTAGTGAAGCATAATTGCGCCATTTGTCTGGCAGTTTTGACACGAGAATGCCCGATGACAGAAAAACAAACAGGCAGTAAAGTATAACTTCGGCACTCGTTTGCAATTTAAGGACAAGAGACTCAAGTGAAAGAATGTCACATTTGGCGGTACTTTTTTTAGAGCCCTAAATCAGACAAACACCAAATTTTGGCCGAAAGAAGAGTGCTACTAGGAATAGAACACCAAAAGAAAAAAAAAAAAACATTTTAATCACTTAAACTTCAACCTCACTTTTTTTAAAGAGAACAGTTAGCATAACGAACTTTTGCTTATTTATTCTTGTAATACTTGCTTCGTGACCGGGAAACTACAAAATAACAAACGTAATACTCATCCCGTTACCGAGGTCACTTCCGTATGCGTTTCGCATTAAAGAGGAGCTGAGGAGGCCCTTAGAGGGTAACTGCAAAGAAAAAAAAAGTTTTTTTTTAGACAGCCTAATTGGGACAAGCATGTCAAAAAACTATTTTTCCGCGAGGAAATTATTTTTTTGCAGCGATATTTATTGCGTGAGACTGATTTTAGTTTGCGGCTAATTCGCCCGTTTTAAATCGCGCGCCACGAAGTTGGGATTCCGTGACGTTGAATCCCAATCGGCAGCTATACTTCTCATTGGCTAAGTGTTCGATTGACAGCTTAGATCTTGGTTTTTAAACCTTTGTTATATGGTGCGATTTCCTTTTGAGCGGCATATTTTTACGTTTAAGGAATAACCCATGTGATGAGAGTTATCATTCTTTACAAAAGGTTTACAAGACGGGCACTTCCGTTTGGACTCATACCATAACAAACAAAAGCTTCGCCATTCTTTCATGGCCGCCGAAGTCTCCGCTACCGCCTGTCTCGCCTACCTCGACTAATCGTTTCGCCCAAGTGATCAGTGTTTCGTGCTGACCCAGGTGCTTGAGTGAGACTTCTTGAAGTGAAGTAGTGTGTGTCTAGCAGCTGTCGCAGGTGTTAGTGATAGGAAGCGATGCGGGGTTTGGCTTTCATAGCGCGGTTCTTTCGTTTTCCTCTTTGCTTGCTTAACGTGTTTTTTTTTTTTGCGCTTGCGCGTGCAAATGCTGACTTTTCGGAGATGTCAGATGAGTGATCCTGACAGCGAGCCTTCCAGCAGCCATGTCGCCCCGAAAGGAATGCTATTTGGCTGGAGGCAATCGAGCGTTCGCGTAGCGACCGACGTGTCCAGTTACGTTCTTGTCATATCGCTCCGGAGGCCGTCGAGATTCGCACCGGGTTCCCCGTGGGCATCGAACATCTGCGACGAGACACAGCTGTTACGTAAAAAACCTGGCACAGCCAGGTGATTACGTAATAGCTGTCCGCAGAAGCCCTCGGACGTTCGAATTCTGCGTTAGACGACAGACTTTTTTTTTCTCGGCTTTCGAACCATATTACGCAAATTGTTTGAATGAATATCTACTGTTATCGTAAATCTTGGCTTGTGATCGCGGCTTTTTAGATTATCGTATTCGTTTTGCTGGAGAGACGCAAACGACGGGCATAACAAAATCGGTTGCATATTCTGCATACCTTGCAAAAGCACTTACCCAGTCACCTTGCGAAAAGCGCGAAACACGGAGTCCGCACCGTCCCGACTTCCCAGTCTTTTACCTGCTTTAGAGCAGTTTGTACCTGCTAGTAGGTATGTCTACTGAAACTTGAAACTAGGGGCAGTGCCGGAGAGCAAAGAAACAAAGTGCAGAAAGCTTGCTCGCCCTCCCCAATTCCTGAACTTTCAAGTGATTGTACCGTAATAAATGCCCAACGCCTCTTCCCATAATAACAACAACAACAACAACAAAAAAAGCACTATGTTCACTACGTAAAAAATGGTCTCAGTTCATGCATCTGTGGGCAGGTAGGAAATCTTGCCCAAATTTATTCACACCGCACGATGAGCGCAACACGTCGCTGTGCAAACGCAGACACGAAGCATAAAAACGGCAGATTTTAAAACGACGTAATTTTGTTGAAAACGCCCGCAGCTTTTTACTCACAGTATGCGTCGGGATACTTCCACATTTTGAAACGGAACGAAGGAAGATTTACTTTTAAAGACGCTTGCTGCGTCCTCCCGAACCAGTTTGACTGGATCAGCTGACGACGACGGGACTGAACCCGTTTAACCTCAACCCCCCAACAGCCAATTTGCGCTCCGTGTTGTGTGTCTGCACTGCACCACACTGCACCACACACACCACGAACGTTTCAGTTCTTTGTCGCATCGCCGTGTTGCACCAAACAGAACGAGATCGCCGAAGTCAACGCAGCGCTGTCGTGAACGTTGGCTTGTGGTTGCACTCTCGTGAACCCTGTGACTCCCTTCGCTTTCAAAGCACACACGACGATTACGAATGATACTTTCCGTCTTCCGGGAACATCAGAGGGGCACTTCCCCGGTCACGTCTTCACTATGTGCTCGCAAACCCCGCAGCTTTTCGTGTACCGTCAAACCAAAACAATACCGGCGCCATTTTTAGAGTGCGTTGTTGCCAGATCTTACCGGAAGTCGAGACGCTGCGTCGTTCAACTCAGCAGCCAAGTCAACAAAAAAGAGCAAATCCAAGAGTGAGGGGCGGGGCGTAGTTCTCCTCCTCCTCTCGAAATAGCGGGAGTTTCATATGTGGAGCTGTTCTGGCTCCGACTAAATTACGTCGTGTGACGTAAATATTGCAAAAAAAAATTTTTTTTTCTCGGAACATTTGTTTTGTGACATGCTTGTCCCATTTAGGCTGTTTAAGAAAACACTTTTTTTTTCTTTGCAGTTACCCTTTAAATTCGAGCAAACTGTAAAAGTTGTAACGCAGACACCTTAAAAATTATGTGTCATAAGTTTTCTTTCGATCTCATTAGCAGGAGCTTCGTAGTAGCCAATTCTAAATGCGACATAGGCTCACCCGTTGCGGATCGGCGAAAGTAGGAGAGCGGTGAGAACAGCTAGCAAAAGTGACGTGGTCAACGGGGTACCCTTTACCCCGGTCAAGCGGGCTAATTTAGTGCACTTCATCGGAGTGCACTTCGCCTGTATTGTCATTTTGGTAGTGTGCCACACGGCTTCCTCCTCAAGACAACACTCGGCTTTAAGTGGGTTTGCTTCTTGTTCTTTGTCTTTTAAGGGCGAAGGGCCGGACAAGGGTCTAGCCTTGTCCGGCGTCCGTGCTCATATCGATTGCCATCCCAACTGTCTTCTTAAAAAAATTAAAAAAAAATGTTTGCACAGTCGACAGGATTCAAACCCGTGCGTGGAGACCCCAATGGATTTCTAGTCCATCGCTTTAACCACTCGGCCATGACTGCGGGACGAGTAGGGGGCTCTGAGATGTGGTTGTAACTCAAGAGCTGGGGATGTCATGGATGAAAGGTTGCATGTAGCCGCTCAACGTCTATACAGGAGAGGGCGCTGCATTTCACCGACCATAAAGCTGCAATAAAGAAGTCGAAACGCTACCCGGAACTCAGCGCTACCTATGAGCAATAAAAAAAAAATCAGCACTACCTATGAACAAAATCAGCATCCTTAGCACCACCAGAGCTTCGCCCCAATCAATATCATTCACCACGTGGAGATGCGGTTATTTTTTTTTCTTTCTCTTAAGTTGTGGTGATCGATCAGTATCTTCCAATCGCCATAAATATTGTGATTTGCTAAACGTTGTCTCGTAACGTGTCTTTATTAAAAGAAGTATTGCGGAGGCATTTACGCTTTCCAAGAGACACTAATTTTACCGTGTGGCACGGAAACACTTGAAGAGACATTCGATGAGCTGAAGTGCACTTGGTAGATGTGCACTAAATTAGCCCGTCTGTCAGGGGCATTACTCGCCCCTAAGCTGGCTCGTGGATGCCATCGACGACGTCCCGGCTGCAATCACTGCTCGTCTTATTTCTTTTTCAAGATAAATGTGGTTTATGTTTACTTAATTTGCCCCATATAAGTGCGATAACGCAATTCACCGGACAGAAAGCTACGCGGAGCGCACGTTCTTCTGCTTCTTGCACAGGGGTTGAGATGATGTCAGAACACCAAAATCATAATGCCTAACAAAAAAAAAAAAAATGGTTAGACCTCGATGCATCTAGCATCCGGGTATTCCCAGCAACCTTATGATTAAAGCCAATCAGTGCTCAGCGTCGTTGTGACGTCACCGCAACCCCCTGCGCAAGAAGCAGACGACTTGGTCTCGGCGTAGAAGTCCGCCCCTAACTCGGCTTTTTGAAAAGTGTTTTAGCTTCCCCCTAAGTTCGACCACAGCATACACTACGAACCGACGGAGACAATCAAGCAGCTAAAGCCTATCGCGCACAGAAATATGCGCAGGTTCAGGCCGCATTCAAGGTTCG